TTTGGCCTTTGCACGGCCAGGACACCCGGGCAAAGAAGGTAACCCGGGCGCCCCGGCTGGTAGCCTAGGTAACCCTTTCCTTTTCTTTGGCTACCCAACTTGTTCTCATTTTCAATTGTTTTCCCTTTTTTTGTTGAGCCTGAGGGAGGGGTGGGTGGGGGCGCTTGGCATTCCTGTGACTTACTTAAAGAGTATGGTGTTAGGGTTTGGCTGCGAGGTCCCGAGCAACTCTCCACCGCCAAAAGTTGTTGCATGGACATAATGCATGTGATGGAGGTCGAAAGTATTATCAATGACAGCCTTGGGTGGTGCCTTTATCTCCACAGTGCCTTGGGTGATCCTGTGATCAAACAAACATTGTCAAACAAACAAACAAAAAGGCGCACACACATAATAGACTAAGTATTATAATGCAACAATTTCTGTAACAAGGAGTGGTTCATGAATTTTCACATCCGATTCTTCGTCATAGCTTCTTCTCAGCCAAAGCTGGGTAATGGCTTTGGTATCCTTCAAAGTTTCATCATTGACAATTGGTCACTGTAATCTCATATAATCTTATAACGACCATTTTGTCAAAATGGACATCTTTTATTTTTTGAACGAAATTGAAACCGAGTTTTTTTGCCGAAAACTCGGACTGCCTGCCAGTGGATGTCCCTAGTCTCAAGCTAGGTCAATGTACAGCCAGGGGTCCAGCATTTTACAAACGCCTGACCCTCAGGAACAGCAAATTTTGACGAGTTTTCAGCCAAAAAACTCAGTTTCAATTTCGTTCAAAAAATAAAAGATGTCCATTTTGACGAAATGGCAGTTTTATAAGGGACGCTGGGCCCAGTTCCCAGCACGTGCTGCGCCCTGCGAATCGATTGGAGCTTAAAATAGAGGAGGAAAGGGGCGGGGGGGGGAGGAAAAAAAAAGAAAAACAGTTAAGCCACCAGTGCACGCGAGCCAAAGTTGTTGCGACCTTGCCGGCATACGCGGGAAGACTGTTCCGCTTCGGGCCTGGGCCGGTAGCAAAAGTGGCAGGCGACTCTGGAGACGCGCAGTTGAAGGCTCGCAAGACTTGGAAGGTAGCTTCGTCAACTTAAGAGGCTCCTGTGAACGGGTGGTTTAAACCACCAGTACTTGGGCGACGCCTTGGCGTTAACGCTACGCGATTTCCGCGGCCAGCGGGCTGTCGATAAATCGAATTGACAGCCCGCGCTGCTTCGAGATTTGGGCGGCCGGCGCGGCGCGCAGTGTCCAAGTACTGGTGGTTTAAAAACACTCTACCATTGGGCTTATAAGTTGTATCTCGGTTGGAAGTACTTGGTTTACAAATTGAAATACAGACCTGAGTTTGGATCCAAATGGAGCTTTTTTTTTTTTTTTTTTTTTTTTTTTTCTTTTTTTTTTTTTTTTTTTTTTTTTTTCCTTTTTTTTTTTGAAGATTCTACGCTAGCCTGCTAGGGGGGAGTGGTATGAGCATCTCTCCCTAGTGGGCCTGGCCATGGTCGCTCCCATTTATTGGTGGGGAGCAGCTCCTGCTGGAAACCGGGTCCAGCTTTCCAAATGCAACTCGATGAATGAAATTCTCGAAGAACCCAGGATGGCCGGTCAGTTCCGCGATGATATCTCAAGGCTGTTGCCTCTTCGTAACAGTTTGGTTTTCGTTAAAAAAAAAAAAAAAAAAAAAAGAACCTTGCCCCACTGGTGCTATTTTCAATAGGAGTTGACTAGAAGTTTTAAAAAAGCACTTGCTGTAGGATTCATCTTCTTCATTTACAATAGGAGTCGACTAGAAGTTTTGGAGCTATGTTAGACGACACTAAGTCTTCTGGTCACATGCCCCACTGCTGCTATTTTCACGCCGGGACAGCACGCACCTGGCCACTATTATGACCAGGCGCAATTTTTCCAAGCATGGACATAGCACCAGTGGGGCCACCATCTCATGTTCCTTGAAACGGCACAACAACGTAAGTCTTTGGGTTTGTGGCTTTTGGCTGAGTCAGACTTCTGCGGTTCAACACCGTGCTGAGGAGATCACATCGTCGCTTCCCCCGAATATAACATACAGTCCTTATCGCGGTGTCAGGACCGAGAGTTCCCCCAAATACAGCTATTATAGTGCCCGTACGTTCTATTTGGGTGGAAGACGACAGCTGCCTTCTTGCAATGCGAGGTGAGAGCCCTGCCGTCTTCACCCGAACAGAACGCCCGATAATTATGGCTGCATTTGGGCCGCAAGTTGCCCTGGATGCAGCTAGAAGGTGTTCTTACTTTTCTTCCCTTTCTTTGTTTTTCCTTCTTCTAAAACAGAAGGGTAACGCCTTGCGCTATCCTCTTTGAAGTTTGAACTGACCAACCCCAGGTAAATTCAGAGGTATGCTTACTCATCTGATTCCATCGGAATTCAAACTCAGCTCTGTTTTTGAACAGTTGATAGGCGTACCAGCTGCGATAGGAGCAGCAGCTAAAAAATGAATCTGCACATCTAGCTCCCCAACAGCTGAGGTTACAGCATGATGGCACTACCCATCCCAGCATGAGGCCGACGTCCTCCACCGTGCAAGCAGGGATTCGAACCAGCGAACTCGGCCTCGAGAGCCAGGTATCTTAACCACTACAGCCAGGACACGGTGTTCAAAAGTGAAACCATACCGGTCGGGGTATCCACCTCACCCCTGCAAGGCTGGAGTGTCCAACTCAACACCCACCACACAGAATACCACACGGACACAGCCAGACAGCCAGACAGCCAGGCAGGCAGGCAGGCAGGCAGGCAGACAGGCAGACATGCTTCAACAGTTGATAGGTGTACCAGCTGTGCTCGGAGACCATCTGGATAACCTAACGACCAAGTGCAGAAGGTGACTGTCAAAGTCTGGCTTTCAAAGTCTGGATAACCTGATTGCCAACAGACAGCCAGAGAGCCAGGCAGACAAGCAGACAGGCAGGCCAGCAGACAGGCAGAAAGGCCGAAAGGAAGGCAGGCAGGAAGGCAGGCAGGCAGGCAGGCAGGCAGGCAGACAGGCAGACAGGCAGACGGTCAGGCAGGCAGGCAGGCAGGCAGACGGGACAGACTGGACGGACAGACCAGCAGACCGACGGACCGACGGACCGACAGATAGACGGATAGACGGACAGACAGACAGACAGACCGACCAATCCAACCTGTAGGCTTTCCATCTTCCGGAGTCAAGGGAGGAGGGATGCAGAGAGAGGATTATGACAATCAGGTAGTTTGGCCAGAGCGGGGTTGTTTTGTTGTCTCCAAATAAAGTACATCACCAGATGATGTCATACTCATACCCAAATGAGTTTTGGCTGGAACAAACCACTCGATTATAGACTTCTAATAGATGTAACCGACCCAATTCTAGATCTGATTCATCCTCTGGAATCAAAAGTAAGTGATTGTTCATTAGAAGTATTACAACCTACCAATGGGCCTAGCCCAGTCGGTACAAACCATGAACTATTGAAACACAGACCTGAGTTCGAATCCAGATTGAAATACGGTAACCATAGATGAATGAAATACTTGAATTGTTTGGGGCTGGTCAGCTTGGCAATGATATCTTAAAACATCAATGCACCCGGGCCTGGACATGCCTCACTGTGCGTCAAGCTTTGCCGAACCACTGGCGGCACACTTTTTTTTTATTTTTTGGTTGGCACAGGCAGGCATTGTGGTGAGGTATGCCTGCGGCGCAGAATTTTTGGAGAAGGCAATGAACATTTTTCCACAATGCTGGGGCCATCTACTGGCCTTCCAAGGCCATCGCTCCTTCTTTTTTTTTTCCCCCCAAGTATTGTAATCCGATCAGTGAATAGTAATGAATACTCATTAGAACTTAGAAGTCCAATACCATTGATGTCCAACCACTCTGATAGTAAATGAAAAGGATTGTAGCTGAAAGAAACCGGGCCCAGTGCCCAAGGCTGATATTAGTATATTACCAATAATAAGATTGAGGCCGGGGTCCTCACAGTCTGCCTGGAATGAACATACGGAAACCGCTAATGTCCAACCACTCTGATAGTAAATGATTGTAGCTGAAAGAAAAGAGGGTTGCAGAATCTGGATTTTTTTTTTTTTTTTTATGTAGAGTGGTTAAGGACTTTGATGACTTACGCGTATCCTGGCATCCTGAAGTGTGCGGCAAACGGCGCGTCTGCAAAGCGATCCTGAACATTTATCTCAGTCTGCTTTTCAGCAAATGACACCACATCATCCTTCTGTAGTGCGTCTTCCTTGACTCCCATTCCAACCATTTGCTCTGCCGTCTGCAAAAATGGGGCCAACTCCTCTCCCAAGTCCATTGCGTCCTCTACTGTGAGAGGCTGCTCCTCAATCCAGACAATCCCATTTGTTTCCACTACTTTCACCGGATTCAGGTGAATGTTTGGCTGCAAAATATAACATATATCAGCAATTGAATATACAAGGGTGTGAGCATAAGTGAAAAAAAAAACTTGAGCATAAGCGAAAAAACTTGTTCACAAAATAAAAAAACACCCCGACAACAGAGAGATTGCCCAAAACCCCAAAACGTTACGAAGAGCATAGAAAAAAAAAACAACAAGAAGAGAAGAAATAGGAAAAACATTTAAAAAAACTCAAGGACAAAACGAGGACCTGGGTCCTAACTTCTAATCCAGTTGCCGTCACTTTCAGTGGGCTGAGGAGGATGCTTATCCCATGCCTGGTGGAAATGGCTGCTCAGGTCCTGCTGCGGCCCGTCAGTCAGCACACACCCAATAAAATAATTCGCAGGTTGAATTCTCAGTCAGAATCATCATGATCGCTGACATTCATGGAATGGTTTCGACCTTACGATGATGCCGATCAGGGTTAAGAAACTTGAGGTGCTCTACCATTCAAGAGTACAAGGAAAATGAGTGATAAGAGCACACGACAGAAATCCTCATTGCATCATCATCACACTGAAAACCAATTAGTCACGTGTCCCACAGAAAGCTGAGTGCACAGAGGAAAGTCTGGCTGGAGTTCCCAGTTCCTCCCTCGTCCTTCAGTCTAGTAGCCACTCATGCCACTCATTGAGAGCGACAGACAGATATCCTAGCAGCCATCCAAGGCTTCTAAGTTCTAGCCTTCTGAGACCTAGCCTTAAACTTTTGCAGCCTAACGGTCCTTCCATCTGGTAACTTGTGGATCATTACCTTCCTATCCCTGTCGAACCGAGCCTTAGCAACCTTGAGACGAGGTAGTACATGCCTAGCAACATGTCGAATGGCAGCTTGTCGCTAACAAGGAACGAGATTTTATGTGTCAGTTCCCCTTTGTCATAGGAGAAGGTGCAGACTACGTCCTTGACATAGGCCTTCACTATCATAGACAAATCCACAGGGGTTCGGATCCGTGGAACCGACCTCATCGCCTGGAAGTCCACCTGCATGTGCTTTACCCATCTGTTTGCTATCACTTTCACCCGGGTCCTCCGTCTGGAGCCCTGATCCTATCTTGGCAGTATAATCATGTGCTAGACAGAAACAAGCTACCAAGCTGTCGCACGTCCAACCTGCCACAGTCCCGGAGGGGACATAGCAGCCCTACTCTGCTGCTAGGGGGATTTCCAGACCCCTGACCCTGAGCATTAGAGAATTGTTGGTGCGGTGTTTCACTTGCTTTGCCTTTTGTCTTTTCCTTTCGCATCGTATTTGATAATGTTGTGTCCTGCATGCCAAGGGAGTTGTTGTTTGAAGTACAGTGACCTGATTACCCATTTGGTTTTTAGAGCCTTGAATTCATTCAATAGAGTGATTGTGTGGTTGGTCTAGCAGCTCTAGCTATATAGTTCCAATTTACTTCGGCGGTAAATCTCGCTCTTATCGCATCCCCTGTCCACAAGTATTCCGCTGTGTTTTTTTTTCCCCTTCACAGGGCGACTATCAGAGGACAGAAGGGCGGGACCACAAGGGAGCTAAACTAAATGAAATTTTGCCTTTTTCGCAGTCGCACTGCCACTGCCTGGAGGATTTGTTTTTTTTTTTCTTCTTTGGGGTCCTGCCGTTCAGGACATCCGTTAAAATTGGAATGACACGTAGACTGATTAGCTGTTGAAACACCTGAGTTCCACCCCAGATGCAATCAGATGAACAGGGAAAGAAAAAGAACAATACAGAGTTGGTGTGTCGAGTGTCTGGTTAAACCGGAGGGGGGGGGGATGGGGCGGGGGGRGTGTGGTGGTACCCCTACGGCCCGGCAGTGAGGCCGGACCAGTTTCAGGCCGCCGGCCTGACCCTGGTCTGGTACCAGGTTGGTCCCGTACCTGGACCTAGGCCAGTATATCACTTCGTCCTAAGCCCAGGTCGGGAGGTTGGTTCATCCATTCTTCATCCATTCTTCATTCGTTCGTTCATTGATTGGGACTGGACTTTCACTCAGCTGCTGATTCTCATGTGTGTCCATCTCCTCTCTCTCTCTCTCTCTCTCTCTCACCATCTCTGCACATGTCATCTGCACGTGTGTCACATTGGTATAAGAGCAGGTTTTCGAACCTCTGCCGCTCCCTCCCTCCCCCTCTCGTTATCATGCCCCCTCGGATGCACCTGGCCCCCGAATGAGACCTGGTACGTTCGTCATCCAAGTTGGCGCCTTTCTCAACGTCGGCGCCACTTCAGTTGCTGCAGTCACCCTACCGGCAGTCGATGCCGACCTGCTGCCGCTTGTGCTCTGGTTCGTCCTTCACCCATCGCTCCTACTGAGTGAATTGCCCGGTGAAGTGTTTGGATTGCATCGACCTCGACGTCCTGTGAGAAGTTCAGCGAACCTTATCATTTAGAGGAAGGAGAAGTCGCAACAAGGTTTCTGCGGGTGAACCTGCGGAAGGATCATTGATACGTGTACGACCGACTTCCCACCACATCAGTGCCTCCTTCCCCCTCTGGCTCCCCTCTTTCCCAACTCCAATCCCAACCCCTCCCCCCCCCCCCCTCCGTTCCGCTGCCATCTCCCCATCCCCCCGACTGCTGCCCACCCCGTTCCCCCCTTCCGATCGCGTGCACGTACACGCATGCCTTCGCCACCCCTTCCGATTTTTCACCTTTGATTCCCGGATCTCCCCCGCTACTCCGCGATCCCAACCTCGACCTTCTCCCACCACGAGTGCCACCATCCCGACTCCCCGGCCTACCCTCCCCACTCCCTTTCCCAATCCCGATCCATCCCCGTTCCCCACCCGCTGCGGCCCGCCCCGATCCTGACAAATTCCCCACCCCCCGCCTCTCCTCCGCCGATCCTGATCCCGCCTTTCTCCGCTCCCGATACCGACCCCATCCGACTCTGACCCCCTCTGCGCTCACGTGCGCGCGACTATCCTACTTCCTCCAATCCCGATTCCGATTCCCTCCTTCCCCCGGCTCCGACTCTAATCCCGACTTCCCCCCCTCCCCCGCTCCCGATCGCACTTCCTGTCCCCCAACTTCGATTTCCTGCCCCCCCGACTTCACCTTGACCTTCCCCCCGAACTTCTCCCCCCCCCACCCTCCACCCGATTACACACCTCTCCGCTGCGACCCCGACCTCTCCCCGATCGTGCACACATGCACACGCACTCCGATCACACTCCTCCTCCCGATCCTACTCTCGCCTCCACCACCCGCCCAACTTCCTCCCACTCACCTCCCTCTCCTCCGCCCGAGCCCGATTGCCCCCAACCTCCCCCCCTCACGTATCCATTTACCCCCGCCCCTCCAATCTCCATTCCGCGTCACCCCGATCCCGATCCCATCCTCCCACCCGTCGCACCCCATTCCCCCCAGTCCCGATCTCCCTCGCATTGTATCCCGCTCCCCCGCTCCCACGCTTCTCCGCGATCCCGATTCTGCCCTTCCCCCACTATGAACGGCGCCATCCTGACAGCCCCTACCCCAGCCGGCGCGCACGTGCGTGTGCGACTTTCCCGCTCCCTTTCCCCCAATCCGACCCCCATTCTACTTCCCCCCTCCCCAATCCCGACTTTTCCCCCCCGATCTCCCTGGCACCCCGCTCCCCCCCCTTCCCCCCCCCCCCCCCTTACTCCCGACCTTGATTCCGCCCGATCGCGCTACCCCCCCTTCCCCCCGCGATCCCTTCCCCCTTCCAGCCCGTCTCTCTTTCCCCCCTGCATCGCGACCCACTCCCTTGCTTCCCAACGTGATCGGTCTCCCCTCCCTTCCCACGCTCCTCCCGCGATTTACCTTCGCCTGCACACGCGTGCAAAACAGGGATTGGCTGGAGCGGCAAATCTGCTAGAAGATAACGCAAATGTCCTCAGATGCTCAACGAGAACAATCATCTTGTTTGGAGCAAATGGGCAAAAGCTTATTTGCTTTTGATTTCCAGTATGCATACAAACTGTGAGAGCTTGGCATATCGATCCCTTAGTGTTTCCAAACTTGACGCTAGAGGAATCTGAAAAGTTACTGCAGGGATAACTGGCTTTCGACTGTCAAGCGTTCATAGCGACGTTGCTTTTTGATCCTTCGACGTTGGCTCTCCCTATCATTGTGAAGCAAAATTCTTTAAGGGTTGGATTGTTCACCCGCCCGCAAGTAGAGCAGTCGGCCTCGAGCTCTTCATTGCCGTTCCATCCTCGATTCGGGTCATCCGCCCAAGTGATGCGCTTGAAAGGATCGACGAGATTCCTCTTGCCCATTGCTCTCCACGGCAGTTGAGATTGATCTCGTCTCCTTCATCAACATCACCAAGCATCATCAGCGGCATCATCATCAACAAGGATCATCATCATCATCATCATTATTGAGGATAGCTCTGGCAACCTCGTCGTTCCACCGGGGGAACGATCGAGAAGACCCTTTAGGGGTTGAATGAAGACCTTCCTTGACTAGGAGGAAGGACCCTGATTGCTCCCGGTCGATCGAGAGCGTGATATTGTCAATCTATCCCCCTCTTACTAATCCCCTCCCTTCCTTTCGTTGATCTCTCTTAAAGATTTCATCTTGTTCCTCTTCTTTCACTTCCTCCCCATCTCCCCTGCCCCCCTCTACCCTCCCCCCCTAATCGGTCGCATCATCCAAAATTCCTAATGCGGATGAAGCATATTCTCTCTTTTAGGGTTTGTTTGACAATGCTGTCCATTCTGACGTTGGGAATTTTGATCTAATTCGATAGGATTAATCTTCATTTCCTTCCTCCTAATGCCATGATCGAAATTAATTCCGGCGTTTTTGTTCAAAAGTTACATGAAATTCTTTATTATATCAAACCATTTTCTTAATTCAATTTCAAATTTGACTTTATTTCAAAAATCCGTGAAATAAATTCCAAAATTTACTAAATTTAATTCTTTTGATGTGGAATTTCCTTCTATTTTCTATCCCCCATAGAATTTCAAAATTCTACAATTCTTTCTGAAATTTCTTTGAAATTCATCTAAATCTGGTAA